ACCCTTAGCCAGAAAGCTAGATTACAGGAATGGTTGAATTACGTTATTATTATTATTGAATATAAAATCAAATCCTTTAGGAAGAGAAAGTCTCTCTCACCTGAAGTGAGCTAGTAAATTACTTTTTGTAAAAGGCACACAAACTTCAATTTTTACATAATTCTTCGAAATCCAGAATTTGGCACCGAACATTTGGCATATACAGTGCTGTTCGATAAAAGTGACTCACCTGATTTTTTTTACTCAATGTTCTCTTCTCCAATGAAACGAAAGTCGAGCTAAATTCAAAGGAGAAGCGATCTAAAATCTGAAGAAGAAGCTTTGAAAGCTCTTTGAATTTAGCATTATATAGTACAGGCTCGCGAGAAAGCAGTTGAGCAAAAGGTTCATATGTTTTCTATGGGGTTGAGGTCAGGAGATTGGGGCGTCCATGTCATAACACTCTGTCCTGCTATTTACCCATAGCTGGGGGGAGGGCAGAAGAGGATTCATACCTTCCCCAATGGAATTAGCACGTAAGCGAATGTAATGGATTCGATTGGAATTCGGACTCGGTTGAATTCATTACAGTGCGGTCTTCATGATTTCCCAGCTTATTTTTGGTATGATATTTCTGTATTTTATTTGCCATATATATGTGGATAGTGTGATTGCAGAATGAGTGGTGGTGAAGTATTTTCTTTGTTTGAATGTTCCTTCTATGGCGCCGATGTAGTACTTTGTATTGTAGTTTGCATTTACCTTAGCTTTGTATACTATGTTCGGTTGTAGCCAATTTCCTTGTCGTGGGCATGTAGTTTTGTCTCTGCAGTTGCATTGGGGGTCTTTGTTTACGCTATTGCAAATTAGTATTTTTTGTTGTGGCTTTTTATTATTTGTGTTATGTTTTTAGTGCAGCTGTAGCTAATTTTTACGGTGTTTTTGTTAAATATTTTTGCTTTTGTTACGGGAAATTGACGTTTTTTTTATTAGGAATGTTTGTTCCTGCCGATGTTTGTTCTGACGGTTTTATTATATGGTGGGATAAACCAAATTGTATTTCTTTTTCTGTTTTTTTTTTTTTTTTTCGTTTTGCTTGTGGTGATGTATATTCTAGCTGATGCCTGTAACCGTTTTTCTTTAGTGCTTTGTAATACGGCGTTTTTTGTCGTTCTATGTTGGATGAGTTGTCGTTTGCCGTTTTTTTTTGTCGTTCTATGTTGGATGAGTTGTCTGATAGCCTGCAGCTGATGGATTTGGGTATGACTGGAGGATGTGTGTATGTATGCACACAAGGCAAATGTTAAAATCACTCGGAACACGAAACGTGTCGGCTAAGTTCTCCTTTCGTCTTTATTCATTTTGTCTTTTTACAAATATACTCTATTTGAATTTTATACACATATGCATATATATATATATATATATATATATATATATATATATTGTGGAGAAAACAGAAGTCGCAAATATTTTTCGTTATAGAAAGAACTTTAACCATAATATATAGTCGACTCTCCCGTCGAATTCAACGTATGAGGATCAAGCAGATCAGTTCCCAAGAAAACCGACAGCCCAACAACAGCACAAGAGATCTGATTATAGTGGTGAAGGTTTCGTGCAGGACCATCCATACTTTTTGAAGGGCCGAATTCAGAGACCTGGGGCACTACGTGCCACAAGGTCCCCAAACGACCCTCCGCAGGTTTTGAATTCAGAGTTGTCCTTCTCCTAGACCAGTTGCCATCCAAAGCTATAGAACACATTAAATCATATATTGCCTTGATAAAGAGGACGAAACGCATCTGCTAATTGTAGTTTTTTCTCTTGTATCTTTATATATATATATATATATATATATATATATATATATATATATATATTTTTATGAAATAAACAAGGTCCGAAAATTATTTTAAGGCATTTTTAAGTTTATACATTCTTTTTTATAGATACAAATATTTAAGTAAATGCACTGTTTATAATAAATAGTGTTAACAACATTTATATATATATAACAATGTAAACGGCAAAAAAACAATAAAAATACATGTACAATCAATATTTAGTAAATGAGCCCTTGCTCTCAATGACAGCTGCACATCTTCGACTACAAGAACGAATCAGTTCTTGACAATCCCCGATACTAATTTTAGACCATTCTTCTTGAAGCTTCACCCACAAATCCTCCGTGTTAGTGGGATTTCTTTCCATAACTTTCACTCCTAAGGTCTTACAAAGATTTTCTATTGGATTTAAGTCAGGACTTTGCGGTGGCCAATCCATAATTTCCAAATCTTGCTCGCTAAGGTAACTCATTACCACCTTTGCCTTGTGACATGGGGCATTATCTTGCATAAAGGTAGCCCTATCGCAACCGGAATTCTGTATGATTGACACAACATGATCTTGAACAATGTTTTTATAGATCTGCGCGTTTACACGAGTTTGTAACCGGACAAGAGGCGTTGTACCTTGGCTAGAAAACATTCCAAATACCATGACGCTTCCGCCCCCAAACTTGACAGTTTTCTTGGTACACTTTGCACTTAATCTTTCACCAATACGTCTCTTTACATTGTTTTTCCATAATTTCCAAATAAATTAAACTTGCTTTCATCACTGAAAAATACTTTTGCCCAATTTTCATATGTCCAAATTACATACCTGTTTGCAAACTCTAATCTCTTCTTCTTATTCTTCGAACTAACAAGTGGTTTCTTCCCTGGGGTTCGATCAAACAGCCTTATTTCTTGCAGTAGTCTACAAACAGTCTGTCTTGACACATTAACACATGAGGTACTATTCATAACCCTTTTAATTTCTGTGCAAGACTTAAAACGGTCCTTTAATGACATACGCTGCATTATTCGATCTTCTCTTGCCGAAGTTTTGCGGGGTCTGCCGGTTTTAAAAGCACTAACTATTTTGCCAGTATCATTGTAGGATTTAACAACCCTGCCTACAACACTCTTGGAACGTTTCACTTTATCTGAAATCTCTCTAATGGTGTGCTTTTCCTTGTGTAGCTTTACAATAGCTTGTCTCACAGAGTAATCAAGTTTTTGGCGTTTCGCCATGGTGCCGGCTGATGCAACGTTTACAAATGACTAAGTAAGACTTATTCTTTAGAAAATCAAAAACATTTGAATATAGCATACTGTTTACATTGTTTTCTCAATTTTGTCCCTTACTGTTGGACGATCCTATTTTGAAAATAAAAAATAATTGTTATAATTCTTTTTCTATCCTTTGCAAATGATTCAAATTTTAGTATGTTATTATGGATGATAACGACTACCAGTTGTCAAAATTTCAGCTTTTCACAGTTGTTATTTCTAACAAATATTAGGTTTTAAAATGTTGTCCCTTAGTTTTGGACGCTACTGTATATATATATATATATATGTATGTATAGTACAATTAATTAAAGCTATCCATGATAATTTTTTAATTTGTTCCCTAAAGTAATTGTTTTGTACTTTAATAAGAGAAAATTATTATACGCGGTGAAAAATGTGAGACATGATTTGTATTATGACAAATGAAAAAAAAAAATCGTTATTAAATTTTGCCCGCGCCAAAATATCCTCCTTTAACCTTGAGAACTGAGCATAGATTTTTTGGCATTCGTTGCAAAAGTTTCTCAAAGTATAACTTTGATAATTGATTCCATTCTTCTAAGAGCTCTTTTTCAGTTTGTTTCATTCTTCTATCAAATATATACTCGACTCTCCCGTCGAAACCGACGTATGAGGGTCAAGTCGATCAGTTCCTCGGAAACCGACAGTCCGACACCAGCACATGTGATTTGATTAGAGTGGTGAAGGTATTGTGCAAAACAAACTTTTTGAAGTGCCGAATACAGAGACCTGATCTAGGTTTTTTTTTTTTTTTTTAATTCAGAGTTGTCCTTCTCTAAGATCAGTTGCTATCCAAGGCTACGGAACCCAGTCTGACCTCCTATTTGCCCATAGCTGACGGGAAAAGAAGAGGATTCACACCTTTGCCAAGCGTATAAGCACGTAAATGAATGTAATGGATTCAACTAGAATGTGAACTCGGCTCTCCGATTCCTCAATCCAAGCCTCTACCCATTACTCCACCGTGCTTTTCACACACACACACACACACACACACACACACACATATATATATTGTATTTTCTGATGGAAATACTATTACAAATAATTATAATAAATGCTAAATCTAAGGTATTTATAGGAATTATTAAGTGAACAGGGAACTATATTCTTCATTACCTTTTCATCTTAATGACCTTAATGACCTTTTTCATTGTGTTTGTAATTACAATGCATCTGGTTGCAAAAGCTTAAGTTAATGATATTTTCCTATTTTTATTTATGCTGCAATGATTGTCTACCGTATTTTTTTACAAAATTCTTCAAGGCTAATTTTATTTCCTCGTCAATTTACCGCAACGCAAACAGATGCACCCAAAACTATAAACAGGATGAAAAAGCTATTAAAAATATATTTCATGCACATATCACTTCATGATTTAAATATATATATATATATATATATATATATATATATATATATATATATATATATATATATATATATATATATATATATGCCTCATATTTGCCGTTTAATCTAAATAAAATGTTCAAACCATCTAATATAATTATTGCCAATAATTCGGCGCTTCAAAATTTCAGCTATATATATAAAAAAAAAAAAAAACTTTGGAGTCATTTAGGAGATTGCATCTCGAATGGCAATAATAAAAAACAGTATAAGATTCTTACATTGGCTACACAATCGCCATACGCTCTCGGAGGTTAGATTATCAAAAAACTAGTGAAGTCCGTGCGCATATCATTCATCTCATAAGAAACAACCAAAGTACAAGTATTTAGTATCCTATTATAATTCTGCATGTGCCTACCTTTGTTTTGATCGCACGACCGTTACTCCTGGCCAATACCTCATAAATAATGGAATATTCCGTTTTGACTGCGTGGAAAGAGGCGAAAAGACAATACATGGTTTCAGTGAACAAATGAAATAAATAAATAAAGAAATAAATAAAGAAAGAAAGAAAGAAAGAAAGAAAGAAAGAAAGAAAGGGAGAAAGGAAGAAAGAAAGGAAGAAAGGAAGAAAGAAGGAAAGGAAGAAAGAAGGAAAGGAAGAAAGAAGGAAAGGAAGAAAGAAGGAAAGAAAGAAAGGAATGTTCAGCGTCTCGTGCTAATATCATATACATAATGGACTATTCCATCTTGATTGCGTGGGAAAAAGGTACGATTTGCTTTCAGTGAGAAAATGAAAGAAAGAAACAAAAGAAAGAAAGAAAGAAAGAAAGAAATAAAGAAAGAAAGAAAGAAAGAAAAGATAGACGTGTTCAACGTCTCGCGCTAATATCTTATACATAATGGACTATTCCATCTTGATTGCGTGGGAAAAAGGTACGATTTGCTTTCAGTGAGAAAATGAAAGAAAGAAAGAAAGAAAGAAAGAAAGAATGAAAGAAAGAAAGAAAGAAGGAAGGAAGGGCAGATGGAAGTGCTCAACGTCTCGTACCAACACCTTATAAATAACACACAATTCCGTTCTGATTGCATAAAAGACACGCTACTCGGTTTCAGTGAGAAAATGAATGAAAGAAAGAAAGAAAGAAGTGAAGACAAAAATGTTTAACGGCTGTTTCATCGAAATTAAAAAAAATGTCAATTTTAAATCTTTTCATTTGTACCCACTTCTTAAAATAACGAACAGCATTCACATTAAACATTATTATTGCAATATCTTGTTAAAGTCGTTAAGCTCAAATATTTTAACGATGCGAAACGGGAATTTCTACTGATATTTTATTGTCCTACATTTGGCCTCGAACTTTCTTAACAATTAAGATTCATCAGAAAATTAAAATTGGAAAACCGTGAAATTTTCACGGGTTAAAGTCGGTTACTGTTAATATACAATACGAAAATCCTATAGAGCACTCTCTGCAAAGAAAGGTTCAACATTTCGAAGGTAGTATTATATAAAATGAAATAATAAAGAAATTTCTCTTACAGTTTTTCTAACACAAAGTCAAAAATATTTTAGTCGATATCAAACTGCATAGTCTCAATAAAAAGTTTAAATCCCTAGAAAAAAAAACCTTAAAGTTCTTCCCATTCAGGGAAAACGAGCCGTAATAAACTCCCATATAAAACTAGCTCGTGTTTGTCTTATAAATAAAATCTGTTTGTTTTTTACTTTTGTCATTTGTTGACGCTTGCGCATTTGTCTTTTTCAATTGCAGACGACACCTTGTAACTATCAAGCTCTTCTTCAAAATTGATGGGCGGGAAATCTCATGCATGCATGCATTGTAAGGCGGGAAACAATGCTTTAGTCTTTCTATTTGATGACGAACCTGGAAGAGGCCCACGGTTCGAAAACAAATTTACCCTTACTTTTCGTTACTAATCGACAGAGAAAATCCTGCAAGAAATCAGTTTTAAACACGGTGTACAGAGATCATAAATTGGCTATGATAAAATTTCATAATCTAGCCTTATACGCCAATAAAGAGACCCAGACTATGATTAATGATGGAATGAAAGGGTTAAAAGAAAATAATCAAAGAAAGGGTTAAAGGAATTGCAATCAAGCTACGATGCATTACTATAGAGGACCTAAGGGAAAATAAAGGCTTTATATTGACTATTGTTAAAATATCATATTTTAGCCTTATATGCCACTAGGGAGAGCTAGGCTATGATCAATGATGGAATGAACGGGTTAAAAGAAAGTAGCAATATTAAAGGCATTTTAATCAAGCTATGATGCATTACTATCGAGGATCTAAGGGAAAACAAAGGCTTTATATTGACTATAGTTAAATTGTAATATTTTAGCCTTATGTGCCAATAGGTAGAGCCAGGCTATGATCAATGATGGAATGAAAAGGGTTAAAAGAAAGTAGCTATATTAAAGGAATTGCAATGAAGCTATGATGCATTACTATAGAGGATCTAAGGAAAAATAAAAAGGCTTTATATTGACTATTGTTTGCATATCATATTTTAGCCTTATGTGCCACTTGGGAGAGCCAGGCTATGATCAATGATGGAATGAAAAGAGTTAAAAGAAAGTAGCTATATTAAAGGAATTGCAATGAAGCTATGATGCATTACTATAGAGGATCTAAGGAAAAATAAAGGCTTTATATTGACTATTGTTAAAATATCATATTTTAGCCTTATGTGCCACTTGGGAGAGCCAGGCTATGATCAATGATGGAATGAAAGAGTTAAAAGAAAGTAGCAATATTAAAGGAATTGCAATGAAGCTATGATGCATTACTATAGAGGATCTAAGGAAAAATAAAGGCTTTATATTGAATATTGTTAAAATGTCATATTTTAACCTTATATGCCACTAGGGAGAGCGAGGCTATGATCAATGATGGAATGAAAAGGGTTAAAAGAAAGTAGCAATATTAAAGGAATTGCAATCAAACTATGATGCATTAGTATAGAGGATCTATGGGAAAATAATGGCTTTATATTGACTATTGTTAAAATGTCATATTTTAGCCTTTTGTGCCACTAGGGAGAGCCAGGCTATGATCAATGATGGAATGAAAGGGTTAAAAGAAAGTAGCAATATTAAAGGAATTGCAATCAAGTTGTGATGCGTTACTATAGAGGATCTAAGGGAAAATAAAGGCTTTATATTGATTATTGTTAAAATGTCATATTTTAGCCTTATGTGCCACTAGGGATAGCCAGGCTATGATCAATGATGGAATGAAAGAGTTAAAAGAAAGTAGCAATATTAAAGGAATTGCAATGAAGCTATGATGCATTACTATAGAGGATCTAAGGGAAAATAAAGGCTTTATATTGACTATTGTTAAAATGTCATATTTTAGCCTTATGTGCCACTAGGGATAGCCAGGCTATGATCAATGATGGAATGAAAGAGTTAAAAGAAAGTAGCAATATTAAAGGAATTGCAATGAAGCTATGATGCATTACTATAGAGGATCTAAGGGAAAATAAAGGCTTTATATTGACTATTGTTAAATGTCATATTTTTAGCCTTATGTGCCAATTAGGGGATAGCCAGGCTATGATCAATGATGGAATGAAAGGGTTAAAAGAAAGTAGTAATATTAAAGGAATTGCAATCAAGCTATGATGCATTACTATAGAGGATCTAAGGCAAAATAAAGGCTTTATATTGACTATTGTTAAAATGTCATATTTTAGCCTTATGTGCCACTAGGGAGAGCGAGGCTATGATCAGTGATGGAATGAAAGGGTTAAAAGAAAGTAGCAATATTAAAGGAATTGCAATCAAGCTATGATGCATTACTATAGAGGATCTAAGGAAAAATAAAGGCTTTATATTGATTATTGTTAAAATGACATATTTTAGCCTTATGTGCCACTAGGGAGAGTCAGACTATGATCAATGATGGAATGAAATTATTTAAAAGTGAATAGCAATATTAAAGCAATTTCATTTTAAGTGCCGTGTTAAAATATATTTATATTGGATTTGTTTCAACCAGAGCAATGTGAATGTGTTGAAAAATCCTTTTAAGAAACCCGACACTCGATAGAACATATGGCGAGAAAACCGGCTTTATATCTAAGTATGTTTACCAGTTTTAATGCATTTCTTATTTTAAACGTTTGGCGTCATTAAGAAATCAACAGAATATAACGCACTGAATTAACTGATTAACATTTACAAACCTGGCACTCAAAAAATGTCTTAAAAAATACAAATAAAATAAAATCAGTGATCTTTAGTCTTTCTGTCGACCCTTGAAATGTATTTTTGGTTCGTTACTCACCTAAAGTTCAACATTAAAAAATAAATGCCGACTAGAGTTAGAGGCTTTTCTTCAGGCTGAATAACGGCAGAATATCCTTGGAGTGTAAAGACCTACACTTGACATTTAAGCAAAAACAGGTTTGGTGATTGGGCAAGGATTACAAATTTCATAATAACAACAACAACAACAAGAAATAATAATAATAATAATAATAATAATAATAATAATAATAATAATAATCAGTAGCTACGTAGTGCAAGGTTGAAAACTGAAACCGAAGGTTTTACTCTTGCTGCACAGAACCAGTGCTTGTTAACTAGAAATTATCAAGCACATATACTGAAAAATTGTGTTAGCCCAAAATGCAGATTCCGTGATAAATATCCAGAAACAATTGATTATCTTGTATCAGGTTGCACTGAATATAAAACCCGGCATGACAGAGTGGGCCAATATCTGCACTGGAAAATTTGCAACTTTTACGGAAAGGAAACTGCAAGAAATTGGTATGATCAACGACTAGACCTGGTTACGGAGATAGGACCTGTAACGATCTTATGGTACTTTAAAATACACACAGACAGAACAATCAAAGGTAATCCCCCAGACATCGGGATTAGAGACCGCAACCCCCCCCCCAAAAAAAAACAAAACAAAAAACTGCCTTCTTATTAATATGGCAGTCCCTGCAGACTGCAATGTATCTTTGAAGATTTTCAAAAACTTTTAAAATACAAGGACCTTGAAATCGAAATCTAAAAAATGTGGCGCATGAGAATTTCAACAATTCTAGTTGTAGCTGGAGCCATCGGATTGATTGGAAAAGATTCCAGTAGACTAATTGAAGGGACTCCCATGCCTTAAAGAAATACAATTGTTCTCACGAGTACAGCCCACACCTTACGAAGGGCTTTATCTATGTAAAATATGTGTGATTTTTTTAAATTGCACAGTGGAAAATGTCATGGAGCCATTTCTGACCTTAGGTCTCTGGTTGGGACCCAGAAAGAAATGACTATACAACAGAAACCAAATGAATAATAATAATAATAATAATAATAATACTGAGTACGTCAGTAATTCAAGTTGTAGTTGGAACTCTGGGATTGATTGGAAAAGAGTCCGATAAACTCATTGAAGGTGTTATGGGGTCCTCCGTTTTTTCATATAAGTGAACTCGACCAAAGTGTTACTTGGACTGCTGCCGTTAAATATCCAGAGTCAGTCAGAGTATACAGAGAGAGTGAGAGCAGACATTGTAATTGAGTTGGAGGTAGAGTAATAGTGTGAGGTAACTGCTTGTAGAAGTCATAGTTACAAGCACGTAGACTCTAAGGAAGTCCTACTTCGAGTATATATATATATATATATATATATATATATATATATATATATATATATATATATATATATATATATATATATATATATATATTGTGACTAACCGCGTTTCTGGATTTACTTACAGTATTACCCATTGTATTATTGTGTAAGTACATTTAATTTCTTATATTTAATTCTTGCGTTTGTCATTCATTGGAGACCGAATTTCATCTCGGAATCCACAACAGAATG